ACTAAACGCCCTCCCCACCCTGGTCTCATCTATTCATTTAATGCAATTAAAATTCAAGAGTCTGTTGTACAAGTTTCCTCCAACCTTTGCATGCAGAACTGATCGTTCCCTTCCTTAATCTTTAGGTTGGGCACGGTGGCTCACACCTATAACCCCAACACTTTGGGAGACCAACAAAGGCAGGTGAATTACTAGGTCAGGAGATGGAGACCATCCTGGCCAACAAGGTGAAACCCCGTCTCTACTAAAATTACAAAAATTAGCCAGGTGTGGTGGTGTGCACCTGTAGTCCTAAATACTCAGGAGGCTGAGGCAGGAGAATCGCTTGAATCCAGTAGGTGGAGGTTCCAGTGAGCTGAGACAGAGCCACTGCACTCCAGCCTAGGCAACAGAGGGAGATTCTGTCTCAAAAAAAGAAAAGAAAAAAAATATCTTCACCGTACCCTGATTATATTGCCACCCTGACACCTGCATCTTTTTTCAGTCATGTCTCTCCTTACTAAACTAAAAGTTCTTTGAGGGCAGAAATCTTATTTACGGATTTTCCTCTCTAGTGCCTTGCATCAACCTAATACAGGTAAAATTTTAAGATGGAGAAGAAAGCTAATCCTAGGTACACAATAAGATGTACTCAGACACTGCTACCAAAAGTTTGAAAAGCATAAGGGATATGAACTGTTACTGAATAAAACACAAAGAATAAGTAATGTAAAATATATAAATAATAAACAATGGAATTTAATGGGCTACAGGCTTAACTCTAACTTTAATTGATTTCTCCTCAGTGAAAGGGCGTTCAGATTTTCCTTCTCAGGTGTTAAAAATCAACTTACCAACCAACCAATCAACCTTCAGGCCTTATTTCTGCCAAAAACAAATTAGGCTGGTAGATCTGCCTTTCACTCTTTGTTTGGTCAGCTACTGACATCAATAAATTCCAACTGGAAATTTCAATCAGATCACTGGTCTGAATATTATTTAATTTCCGTAAAGGTTAACTAAATTTACAACAATAATAAATTTCAGTGCATGTTTCTCCTGGGAAGAGTTTTCAGGATGTGTGATTTGGGCTGTGAAAATTTCACAACTGGGTAGAAAGTGATCTAAACAAAGAACAAGTGGTAATCACTGTTATTAAGGTAATTTTAAAGTTCTCTGGGCCAAATGGTCAGATACTGAATGAGCTAATCATTGAACTGACTCTGACGATATAGTCAATTGTTACTCAAAATAAAACTATTAATTCTCCCTCATATCTTTATAATACAGGGATACCTCTGAATTAGAAGGCTCAAAACAGACTCAGAAAGCATATATTAAAAGACTCTCCCATGAAAACTCCATAATAACCAAGGTCCAATTAACAGAAGAATTAAACTTATCAGTAACTACCAAGGGATTAACAAAAAAAGGAACTCTTCTTAAAGTAAGAAAAGTAATCTTTACAACATACAGTCACGCATCACTTAACGATAGGGATATGATCTGAGACATGCATCGATTTTTGTCACTGTGCAAATGTCATACTGTACACAAACCTAGATGGTATAGCCTACTACACACCTAGGTTATATGGTCGGGACTATTGCTCCCAGACTTCAAACCTGAACACTCTGTTACTGCAATGAATACTTCGGGCAATTTTAACACAATAGTATGTCTATCTAATCTATCTAAACATGAAAAAAGTAAAGTAAAAATATGGTACACCTTACAGGGCACTCAGCATGAACGGAGCTGCATGACTGGAAGCTGCTTTGAGTGCGTCAGTGAGTGGTGAATGAAAGGCCTGAGACATTACTATATACACTGCAGAGCACTGTACACTTAAGCTACACTAAATTTTAAAAAACAAAGTCTGCTACAACTTTACAATATCAGTAAGTGATAGTAATTTTTCAGCTCCACTATAATCTTATGGGACAACTATCATATATGCATGCACTCCACCCTCACTATGCAGTACATGACTGTGCTAAGATGTGGCCAAATTCCTCTCAGAAATGGGACTCTCTAAGAGAGAAATAATGGGGAAAATAGTTTAGTACTCCTAGCCTCAAACTGATTTCTTGCTTAAGAATTCTAGAACTCTCATTTTTATGCTTTTAGACAAGATAGTCAAGAGTGTCTTTGTGAAGCTGAGAAAAACTGCATGTACAAGAAACAGGCTCAGAATGTTCAAACAATCTGATTGCCACAAAGTCTCTGAAGGTATAAATAGGAGAACTGATTGGTGACCAAAATAAATAATGGCCAGGCTCCATGGTTCACCCGTGTAATCCCAGAACTTTTAGGAGGTCAAGGTGGGAGAGTCGCTTGAGCCCAGAAGCTTGAGACCAGCCTGGGCAACATAGACATCCCACACCCCCACACAAAAAATTTTTAAAAAATAGCCAGGCATGGTGGCACACACCTGCAGTTCTAGCTACTTGGGAAGATGCCTGAGCCCAGGAGGCTGCAGTGAGCCTTGATCACACCACTGCACTCCAGCCTGGGCAACAGAGTCACTGTCTCAAAACAAAACAAAACGGTAATCATGGTAACAAATAATGGCACTAAGTGGTTATTTGCTGGCACATATATTTTGCATACATAAGGAAACTAGAAGTGAACTAATTTGCTTTCCCAAAAAGTAGAGATTTAAGAGCAAAGTCCCCTGACCTTAAGCCCAAGTAGGCACTCACATGTTGTGTTATACTGCCTCCTACAGGTAATTGGACACTGCAGAAGAACGAAAAAAATGTACTATGCCTAAAGGAATAAAACAGATCTGGAACCTGTCACTCCTGTTAAGACAAAGAGATACATATAGGTGGTACCTGGGGGTGGTAACAAGATATCCCCTCAAGATTAGTTATAATGAAACTAAGAAATGATTAGGATCAATTCAAAGTGAAAACACCCAAAATCCAATCAAGGTGACAAACATAAAACCTCAGGACTCACAAGCCTTACTAAAACTGTAGTCCTAAACATATGTATATTGTATAGAACGTCCCAAATAAAGGAGATGGCCTGCAAATTGCAGTGACGAAGGAAGTTAAAGGAGTGAAGAGGAAAAGAGTCATAGTTCAGGTCAAGTTTAAAAAGGTTTTTCCTAGGAATTCCAAGATGCAGATATATGCCCAGAGGAGAATACACCCAAGCTGAGGCTAGGTCGTTATCCAACTAATCCCCTTTCTTCTGATTTCAGGTTCACTTAAGGAGCTAATTATAATTTGCATTCCCATTCAGATCTGCCTACAGGGAGAGACTACGCTGATAAGGAGTGACTGGTCCACAGCAGATTCTTAAATTTTTTTTAAATTCATTCCATTTAAAATTTTCTAAGTAACCAACCTAGCCCTATTTAGAAAATTAAACTTTCATTTTCACAATTCCCTCAAATCTCCCATCATCTTGCTACATAACTTCAGGAATGCTACTTAACCCTTTAAGGCTTTAGATTCCTCTTTTGTAAAATGGGAACAAAAATACTTTGCAAAATAAATGTTTGACACACGAAGATAAGGAACTGTTAGTTCTATCTCATTCTATTGCCCAAGCTCACAAAGCTAGTAAGTGCAGAAAGCTGGGATCTGAACCCAGACTTACTTCAAATCCATTCTTTTTCCATTACGACATTCCTTACAGGCTCTAGTCTCAGCTCTGTCACCCCAGACTCTCTTAAGACTTAGGACAATTTACTTAACCTTTCTGGGCCTTACATATTTAAGTGACCTTCCTTCTAGGGCTTAGGCAACTAAAATGCGTGCAAAACAACAACAACAACCCTACTTCTTAGTCCACAGCGGGGTGAGGGGGCTGGGGGCGGGGGAAATCACCCTGTGCTTTAAAGTTAAAGCCCTAACTTCTGAGAAACCGGGGTGCTGTGTCTGTGAGGTTACTGGTGTGCCTAATTAACTCTAGAGTAAGCGTGCTGAACGGCAGAATCATTCCAATCAGCAGACTACCATCCGAGAGCTAACTTTATAAGATCAACGACTGGCTCGCTACCAATACAAAAGAATGAATTCCATCCACCACCACAGGTTGCCCTAAAGTCAAAAAGGGAGAACTGATCAACATCTGTAAATAGTAAGGCTTACTATCTTTAGAGTGGAAATGTTAAAACAAGGACTAAGAACTAAAGTACAGCTTACTTGTTTTGTAAGCACTTTCATGGTGTTTGGTAAATAAACTCCATACTAATCTAAATCCACTACTTGATACAAATAACTTCACACTAAATACTTCTAATGCTAAATTTAAGGTACTTAATGGTAAACTGCATTTAAAAAACTTTCTTAAAAGGAACAGTATTAAAAAAATCTCAGCGCAGAAATCTGAGTAAAAGAAAACAAGTAAACACTACAATGATTTACCAAAACCAGGCTTTGGAAAGAGAGTTCAATAGAGGTTAATTTAGTAAAATCAAATTATTCACAAGAGCAAGGCGTTCCAAATAGCATTCTCTACATTTACATACAGCTCTCATATTTCACATTATCTTGACCCCATATATAAAGAATTTTTTCGGCTGGCCGTTTTCTTGAAACGGGTAGCCTTAAAAGTAAAGGGAAACTATTTAATCCACTTTTCAAAGAGTTGCCCCTTCGACCAGCACACTAAACGTCCATAAGCATACAGCAGCTTCTTTAAAATCACAGCTAATAAAATTTGCTACCGCAAGTCAGGCTTTTAGGTTAAAACCTTCAACCTCACTTTCTTTTTGATTCAATCTGATAAGCAGAGAAATCTGAGTCATAAAAAAGGAATATCCAGCGCTACGATAAGACAATTGTCATTCCATCCCCTTCCCCCCACAACACACAGAACTTTTCAAAACTCGTTCCCAGGTTTTCTAGCCCTCACGCGTAAGCTCCCCGCACCTCTCAACTGGAACGAAGTCTTCACCCAAGAAAACGGTTTTGAGATTCTTTTTTTTTTTTTTGGGGGGGGGGAATGATAAATCTTTCCCTATTAAGATCTCAAGAAAGTAGGAGCAGGATGTACTGTACCTGGGCGTTGGCGTGGAGTTTGTGCTCGTTAGAGACGTGGTGCCTCAGGAGAAGGGTTTTCTTGTAGTTGCGGGTCCCTCGCGAAAGCTCATCATGCCCCACTTGGGGAAGGTCCACGCTTCCCCCATCTGCAGGGGTCTTTTGGCACCAGCCGCAAGACATAAGGCCAGTATCCCTGGAATAGCGCAGCCAGGGAAAGTCCTTGAGCCAGGAGGCCTGGAAGGAGGACTGAAGCTTCTGCATTAGAGACTTGGGCCGCGCGAGCGGGAAGTGCTGGACAGTCTCTCCTTCGCCAGCTCCCACACCGCTGCCCTCCACTTCGTCCCCGCCATCGCCGCCCGACCGCCTGCTGCTACTGCAGCTGCCGCCTTCCGCCCCGCTGCCGTCGCCCAGGCTCGCCCCCTCCTCCTCGTCCTCGGTGCTGTCGCTCAGGGACGCGCCGTCCTGCATCAACTCCTTCCTCTCCAGCGCGTCCAGCTCCAGATCTACAGCCGCCGGCCCTCGTCCATTGAAATGCCTCAGGGGCCATGCCGAGGTCTCGGGGCGGCCGCGGCTACTGCCATTGTTGCCGAGACCCCCGCCGCCGCCGCCTCCTCGGAAGGCCAGAGTCCGACGGTTCCTCTCCGCTAGCAGGGGGCCCCCAGCGCCACCGCCGCCCAGCGAGGTGGGGCCGCCCGCGTCTTGGGGGAGCAACTCCTTGGCTTCCTCGGCGACGCCGGCGGCCGCCCCAGCGGAGGCCTCCAGGTCTTGGGGCTCCAGGCCCTCCAATTCCACTTCCTCGTCGGCCCCCCGCCCATTAGGCTGCTGAAGCGCTGGCGGCGCTGGCGGCGGGGGCTGTCTCGGCTGGGGCTGCGGAGGCCAAGCTGAGGCCTCCCCGCCAGCGTTATTGTTCGTGGAGCCGCCGCCGCTGGCGGTGACCAACCCGCCTCCTCGGAACGCCAGCGTCCTGCGGTTCATTTCACTGAACGACATGGCGCGCGCCGCCGCCGCCGCCGCCGCCCGGTGCCCCGGCTCGCGCACGGCCTCGGGCCGCGTCCCGCGCGCTCCCCGCGACTCCCCCTCCGTCTCGCCCCCGCCCCCGGCGTTCCGGTCTCGCGGGGCTCGGCCTCGCCCTCCCGCCCGGCAGCTCGGCTCGCGCTCGCTCCCGGGGCTGCTGCACGCGTCCGCTACCGCTGCCGGGCCGCCGCCTCCGGCCGCTCTCTCGTCCTCCACCCCCGCCCCGCCGCGCTATGGGCAGCGTCCCGCGCGGAGAAGGGGGCGGGCGGCGGAGAGGTGAGGAGCTAGCCGAGGGCGCGCGAGGCCTTCGAAGTTGAGCGGCGGAGTGCGAGGAGACCCTTCGCTGCCCCCTCTTTAAAGCCGCGCGCACACACCGACCCTCCACACAGATATCCTTCCTCCGCGCGCCGAGGAGTCCCGACGCCGCCGCCGGCTTCGCAGGCGCTGAAGGCCAGAGGCACGCTAAGCTGCTCGGCTTCGCCACATAACGAAGCGACAATAAAGCCGGCGGAGCGTTTCCGTCCGACCAGGCCCTGGCGGAGGTCGAATGGCAAATGAACAACGGACCGTGCGCCCACAATGCACCGGGGTAGCAGTAACCGCTGGAGGGGGAAAGGGTGGGGGCCGGGCTGGGGGAGGGGGGCTGGGCTTGGGGCTGGGCTGGGGTGGGGTGGGGGCGCCAGGGGACCGGGAAAGGGGTTGGGCCGCGCCTCCGGCCTGGGGGCGGGGGTGCGGCCGCAGGGAAGGAAGTCGGCCGAGGGGCGGGGGACAAAAGGCCGGGCGGCGGGCTGGGGGTCTCAGGGAGGGGGCGGGCGTGTGCGGCCAGGGCCGGGCTACGCGGAGGACAAACAGCTGGCGAGTGTCAGGGTCTGGCCGCCTCCCCGCTGCCCACACGCACCTACCCGCGCCCGGGACGCGCATTTCCTTCTCTCGCCACGAGTTCACCTGGGACTTTGCAAATAACTGTGCGGTGGGAGCTGCGCTCCAGCCTTGTCATTTGCTGAGGGTGGGTGTCGGTGCCCAAGGAAGTGAACTTATTTTGTTCCTTCACAAAGACTGGACCAGGCGTTGCCTTACACGCGAGTAGGTTACGACCACGGACACCACCTCTTCTGATGCATTGTGCGAGGCAGCACCTCGGGCCCAGGGCAATAATCATTTCACAGAAAATGCACCGCCCCGAGTGTCTTATTGCTGTGATGAAATGGAAATTTAAATAAAAGGTCGAACACGTGCGTTCACTGGGAAGTATTGACATGGGTGTTACATCACCAGCAGCCAATCAGATAACTCCAGTCATGTTTATACTTTACAACCACCTTGTGAGTATTACAGTATGTCATAACGTTATAAATATTAGGCAGGGTTTTCCCCAGGAGCGGGGAGGAGTCTGCTTCTACGGACGCTGTGAGCCGCTCCGAAGATTGTGTGTTAGAAGACAACAGTTCGTTTTTAAGATTTTTTTCGAACTGTTTACATTACATGGAATTCAAATTGGTTCCAACAGAATAAACTGGAAACGAAATCCCACAAATATAATCATAGTAGAGTTTTTTCCAATTTAGGGCCCTTATACAACTTGAAAAAAAATTTAATATGCTAAATTTAGCAAATACTAAAGTGTTCAAACTCATCTGCTGACTTGAGTTTAAGCCTATTTCAGGTTAAAGATGCTTTCAAGTTATGGAAAGTTATGGAGGGGCCTTTTACTCTTAAGTAACATATATTAGGGGTTGAATCACAAACTAGTAAAATGCTCAAGATAATTATTCACTAGAAACGAATATATGGCAGGGCAAATTTTTAATTAATAATACATATGTGCATAAAATGAGAAATATACATGAACTCTTTATAGTGATACATTATCTAATGGGAAGGGTTATTATGTTTGAGGCTTGAACCTCCTACATAATATGTTAGTGTAAACAAAGTTATATATCTTTTATAAAGAGCAGGTGTTACAATTTTTAGACCCTCTAGTTATATGATTCTTGTTCTCGTCAAAAATTTTTTTAGATTTCAAAACTAAGAGCAATATGTAAAGCTTTGTATAATGTAAAATATGGTGTGTTTTTTAAGGTTACTTTAAAAAGCAAGCTTTGGCTGGTCCCAAGGTAGTAAATTTTCTCAACTGGTTATTCACAGTTGGTTACCCTTTGTGCCACTCTTTCCCCACTTCCACTTGACTAGTCTTTTAAAACTAACTAAATATTTAAATAAACGAGTCTTCTCAAACGTATTATAAAATACCATTTGTCTTCCTATTTTTTAAATGGACTAAACACATAAATCCACATCCAGACTCATATATTGATTGTATAGTTTTATTCAAAGCAACATTCACTTGATTTACTGTAATTTTAATACCTGTGTAAATGAGCAGTGTTGTATGTCAAACAAAAAACATTGGTTCTATCTTACAGATTACATGTAATTTTAATGTAAAGAATACTACTGGCGGGCCGGGCGCGGTGGCTCAAGCCTGTAATCCCAGCACTTTGGGAGGCCGAGGCGGGTGGATCACAAGATCAAGAGATCGAGACCATCCTGGTCAACATGGTGAAACCCCGTCTCTACTAAAAATACAAAAAATTAGCTGGGCATGGTGGCGCGTGCCTGTAATCCCAGCTACTCAGGAGGCTGAGGCAGGAGAATTGCCTGAACCCAGGAGGCGGAGGTTGCGGTGAGCCGAGATCGCGCCATTGCACTCCAGCCTGGGTGACGGAGCAAAACTCCGTCTCAAAAAGAAAAAAAAAAAAAAAAAGGAATACTACTGGCCTTTCACAAAAGGATTTTGTCTTTGAGTTATTTTTCCAATAGTAAACATATTGCCACGTGGCCACCAGTGATCAAGAGCTTGAAATTCTGATACAGTTCCTCAGGTAGGTGTAGTTGTAGGGTGTTTGTGTGTTTGCTTGTTTTTGTTTGTTTTGTCCTGCTTTGTTTTAGTTGCTGGGAAGTTTTAAGACAGTGGAGTCTGTGATCTTGACCTAATTTGTACCCTTAAGAAATAAGAACTCTGCCTAGTGTGGCTGTATATAATATGTGCCACATCTGGAAGAATGCCGTTTGTTTTTAATGCATTTTTTTTTCATTCTAGGCATTTTGAAAATAAATACATTCATTATATTTTAACCACCACAGCCTCCATCCCCCAAAAAGAGGGAAGAGTTACTGAAGTTACTTTTTACCTAGGATAAAGGTGATGGAAAGTGAAAAATGGACTTAAGAATTTTTATTTCAATTCTAAAGCCTGCTTTCCTTCCAAAACTGTTAAATTCAAATCTTTGCTGCTTCTTATGTCGTATCCCTGGTACATAGTAGGCACTATATAAGTTTATGTAAATATTTTTGCTTTCTAGTAGTGCCAGAGTCAACCAAAAACGTTTAAATCCCTAATTGTGTTGTGTCAGAACTGCCTTTTTCTCAAACATATATCTTACCTTATGTTTTATAAAATCCGTGTTGTCTTCTGTCTGAAGTTATGTTTAAATATGGACTAATTAGGAATGAATTAGGCTAGATTCAAGTGGTACAAATAAATGACTTAAATTCTAGGACCACTGAACTAACAAATGGTATCAGTGTGATGTATATGTGTGTGATTGAGTATGCATGCCTGTATGTGTATATATATGTGTGTGTGTGTGTGTGTGTGTGTGTGTGTGTGTGTGTGTTCAGTTGTCTTCCTCTAAACTCTGAAGGAAGGTGGAAATCAGAAACAAAGCTCAAAGGGATAGTAATCACAAATATCTCATGATACTCCGTAAGAAGGGAACTTTGAGTAACAGAAGGGGATCTCCTATGCTGTGAATGGAGTTTTTAGGAATTCCCCAAGCCCTTCCAGTCTCCTAGCAAGCAGGGATGTGTTCTCCCCCTCTAACTCCTATACTTATTGTTAGGGTACTACCATATTCAAGGGAATTCCCCCTTATGCTTACCAGGGGAACCCCTTAAGAATGGGGCATCCCCAACCAGTTTGTCCCCTAATTTCATCTTACTCCACGTAAAACAGTTGTAGTTTACACTTGATACTGGCTCACCATATCTCTGTAATGGGCCTTAGCTTCTATACTTGGCCCAGCTGATCTTTGAGGGTCAAACTTGGCTATCCTTCACTGCCTTGGTAGAGGTACGTTGCCTCTTGAGTTCTAGGGACAGTAGCCTTTCTGTCTGTGGGATTGACATGAGTCATCCACCAAAATGAAGCACATGAGGACAGGGACTGTCTTTCACCTCCATCCCATCCCCACCAGCACATAGTAGGCAAGTAATGTTTGTTGAATAATTTTTGTATCTTCCCTTGCAGTCAAATTTGGTAGACAACCTTTTCTTCTGTTTTCTGTTTTGTTTTTCTTGGCTTAGTACAAAAATCTTCTTCTTAAAAGTATTGAGGGGCCAGGCATGGTGGCTCACACCTGTAATCTCAGCCCTTTGGGAGGCCAAGGCGGATGGGATCACGTGAGGTTGGGAGTTTGAGACCAGCCTGGGCAATATGGTGAAACCCTGTCTCTACTAAAAATACAGAAATTGGCTGGGCATGGTGGTGTGTGCACCTGTAGTCCCAGCTACTTGGGAGGCTGAAGCAAGAGAATCGCTTGAACCTGGAATAGGGAGGTTGCAGTGAGCCGAGATCATGCCACTGCACTCCAGCCTGGGCAACAGAGCAAGACTCTGTCTCAAAAAATAAAAATTAAAACTTTTTAAAAGATTTAAAAAATTATTTAACCAGTGTTCTACCGTTGAACATTTCATTGTTTACAGGTGGGTTTTGTGGGATTTTCTTTCTTTTTTTTTTTTTTTTTTGTGCAGTTATAAACAATTATTCAGTGAACATTCTTGAAAATAAAACTTTGTAAATATTATTACTTCGGGGTGAATTATAAAAAGGGGAATTTGTGGTAAAGGGAATGAACGTTTTCTTTTTTGATAAAAGAATTCAGAAGGAGGGAATGAACATTTTATAAACAAAGGATTTTTAAAGTGAACTAGGCAAAAGAAATCTAGGATATATGTGATAGACAAAGGCTTAATATCACTGATATACACAGAGCTCTAATCAATGAAAAAAACACAAAGATAGTGGAAGAAAAAAATGTGCAGAGGACATGTATTAGAAAATCTTTTACAAGTGCTGCGGTCTGAAATACAAGTGCCATGGTGTGAACATTTGTGTTCTCCTCAAAATTTATATGCTGAAACCTAAGCCCCATGGTAATGGTATTAAGAAAAGAGGTGATTAGGTCATGAGGACAGAGCCCTCACGAATGGGATTAGAGCCCTTATAATAGAGGCTTGTGGAAGAACTTGTTCGCTCTTCCACTATGTGCAGTGACAAGGTGCCATCGATGAGGAACAGGCAGGCCTCTTCCAGACACTGAATCTGCTTGTGCCTTGATCTTGGACTTCCCAGCTTCCAGAACTGAGAAACACATTTCTGTTGTTTTTAAAGTACCCAGTTTGTGCTTTTGTTATAGCAGTCCAAACAGATTTAAGACGAGTGACTAGAAAACATATGAAAAGATGTGCAGTCATGGCCAGTAATCAGAAATGTGCATAAAAGTCACGATTGAAAAGTA